TTCCGCAGCGGCCCCTAGCGGCAGCTCGAGTCAGCGCAGGAGGATCTCATCGCGGCTCATCCGTGCCACCCAGTGGAGCGGACGCAGCACACTCGGGCGATATTAGCAGCCTGTTTTCACAGCAGCGCGTGAAAGCGTGCGGGGAATGCGCGGAAAGGAGCGCTGAACTACAACTCTCGCCGTTCCCGGCCGTTCTTCGTGCATGCCGGGGCTGATGGGAGTTGTAGTTCGGCAACATCTGGAGGGCAAAACTTTTCTCCATTGCAGATCTGGTGCTGCCAGCAGTAGGCGAAGTACGTAAAACATAGCATTCAGCTTGAAATTTATTTTTTAATGTATCCCACCTTGTGCCACACTGCGGAGGGTGGAGGTTTTCCCCATTTCCTCTGAACAACAACCCAAAAATGGCAGGAACAAACAGCCACATCTCACACAAGGAGAACATTTCATACCTGAGCATCAAGGGAGAGATTTGCCCCCATGCTTTGAGGAAAAAGAATATGTTTAAAATGTGCTTTAAGGGTATACAGTGGTACCTCGGGTTACATATGCTTCAGGTTACATACGCTTCAGGTTACAGACTCCGCTAACCCAGAAATATTACCTCGGGTTAAGAACTTTGCTTCAGGATGATAACAGAAATCGTGCTCCGGCGGCACAGAGGTAGCAGGAGGCCCCATAGGCTAAAGTGGTGCTTCAGATTAAGAACAGTTTCAGGTTAAGTACGGACCTCCGGAATGAATTAAGTACGTAACCAGCGGTACCACTGTAGTGAGTGCCCACTCCTCTGGGGCTAATGTGTACACCTAGCAACAAAGCATAGAACGCTTCCTGAAAGCAGTGTGTGTGAGAGAGAAACAGAGCAACAATTTTTAGTATTAAGTCCGACAAAAAAACAGGAAGTCACCCTACTCTCAGCAGCCAGAATCATCATAGCCAGGCATTGGAGAGACCTGTCAGGAGTAACTGTGGACCACTGGCATCAAGTAGTATGGGAAACAGCCCTATTAGAAAAATGAACCAATAAACTGAAACTGACACGGGGACAAATAGAAGAAGCCTTCACCCCGGTATGGCTCCCCTTTATCACGTACACAGCCCAACAAGATAACAAAACTCCGCCAACAGCATACAAATCAATCTGGATAACCTGATTAAAAATATATACACAGTCACACACCCTGCTCACACTCACAAATAAATCTCACTACAGCCACCCAAGGACAACCAATCACACCCTAGGCCACCTTCTACCTCTCTCATCACCAGGGAAACAAGTGAATAGTAAGAAAACCCATACAAGTAACGCTGACACAAAACCCCACACATACACTAAACAGAAGAATAGAAACATAACCACCTGACCCCAACCCACCCACCACTCCCCCTCTTTTCTTCCTAACCTAACATTGTATGTACAGTAGTACCTCAGGTTACAGACGCTTCAGGTTACAGACTCCGCTAACCCAGAAATAGTACCTTGGATTAAGAACTTTGCTTCAGGATGAGAACAGAAATCACGTGGCAGAAGTGAGAGGCCCCATTAGCTAAAGTGGTACCTCAGGTTAAGAACAGTTTCAGGTTAAGAACAGACCTCCAGAACGAATTAAGTTCTTAACCCGAGGTACCACTGTATCATTAATGTCTCATAACAAATGCAGCTGAATTGTAGAAATCGTAACTTGAAGAAAGAGACATCATACTGTTTTTGTATGCTTAAGAAATCTCTAATAAAAAACATAAAAAACAAACAATCAGGAAGCCATCCAGAACAGAACTACAATGAATGATTTGGCTTATTCTAGTGCAGAACTTTAAGGAGTGCCAATCAATTATTTAAATGCTCCCTTCATGAAGGGTGAAAAAGACCTATAGAGAGAATATGGTAATCAGGTTGATCCCATGTATTGAGGCTGCAATGACAGGCTTTATGATTTAGGATATTCCTTTACAATTTAGAAGTTGGTAACTTGAGGACTTGTCCTAAAGTCACACAACTCAAGCATTTCTAACAGACTTATTGATTGCTCCAGAAGTTTCCCTTAGGGGTTCTAACAATAAAGCTGTTTTAAAAGTAAATATTTCCTTCTGGCCTCCCCTATCTGGTATCTGGCCTTGGAACCTTTTAAAGAGAGGCTCCTGTGCAAAGTCAAGCTAGACTCTCTGGTGCCAGAAGGATTGCAAAAACTCAGATCCCCCCTTTCCAACTGTTTCAGTCCTAAGAGTACAATGGTGATAAGATAACTGACTCTTAACTAAAAAAGTCACCCCTTTTTTGTATACCCCAAAAGGCAACCCAATCCTTCATTGACAGGTATGGTAAGATAATAATTTTATTAGGACCTTCTTCCCTAGAGTTCACAAGGAATGTTTAATCAGACAAAAAGCATTCAAGTTTTGCCCATCCTCTCAAATACAAGACCCACAAAATGCTATTTTTTAAATCTGCACATAGCCTCATAGCTACCTTGAAGTGAAGTACCATATATTTTACCAATCCGGTTTTTCCCCCCTTCACTGAAACAGAATTTTTGCTTTAATTGGATGACGCTTGAGCTGCGTAACTACCGAAGTAATCTTCAGGTTCATCCCTCCACACTATACTATTCTTACAATACATGTTGCCACAGTTGACTCTAGCAGCCACAGGTAGACTTGTTTGCTTATTTTTGTGTGTGGCATATGCATGCTACCCCTAAGCAGAGTCCTGAGAGTGTCTTAAGTGGTTTTGGTGCTTCACATTGGAAGCGGAGTCATTAATACTATCTCAGACCCTCCAAGTGTCCCCGTTTTCTAAGGACGGTCCCAGATTTACAGAAGCTGTCCTGGTTTCTGATACGATCCTGGAATGTCCTGCTTTTCCTTAGGATGTCCCCATTTTCATCAGAGAAACGTAGGAGGGTACAGACACAAAAATTGCCACGCTTTTTTTTAGTTTTGCCCAAAGTTTTCAATCTATTTTTGAGGAAATTAACTGAAATCTACATGGACATTTAAGCAATATCCACTCAGGCGCTGTTTCCAATGGCTATGTCTGGGAAATTCCAGGTGTATGGCAGCCCCAAGTTATGCGAACCCCGAGCCAAGGAGTTAAGTAATTATACAACCTTTAGAAGACATCTGAAGACAGCCCTGTATAGGGAAGTTTTTAAATGTTTAATGTTTTGTTATGTTTTTAGGCATGTTGGAAGCTGCCCAGAGTGTTGCTGAGGCAACCTGTCAGATAGGTGGGGTATAAATAATGTTGTATTCTAGTTACAGGTAGGTAGCCGTGTTGGTCTGCCATAGTTGAAACAAAATAAAAAAAATTCCTTCCAGTAGCACCTTAGAGACCAACTAAGTTTGTTATTGGTATGAGCTTTTGTGTGCATGTACACAAAAGCTCATACCAGCAACAAACTTAGTTGGTCTCTAAGGTGCTACTGGAATTTATTATTTATTTATTTATTTATTATTATTTTTTAATGTCCCTATTTTTATTGAAGAAATGTTGGAGGGTATGCTATTGTACAGATTAAATGATATAAACCTCACAAGGCTGAGGTTTATAACATCTTCCATTATGACAAAGGAGGTGGCTGGTGCCCACTGAGACTTGTAGGGTGGGGGGCAGGAAGGCCAAATGGAGGTGGACCCAGAGCCAATGACTGATGGAGCCAGAGCCAACTCATTCCAGCTTTGTCCCCATCCTCCTCTCTGTAGCAGGTGAAAATACTGAGACCCAGTAGGAGGAACAGGAAAGCCACTGCCATTCCCTGGTCTTCCTGCAAGTAAGAAGGCAGGCAGGCAGGCAGGCAGGCAGGGGATGGGGCCTGTCTGAATGGAGAGCAGTGCTTTATTTGCTGTACTGGTTCAGTCTCCACTGGGATCAAGCAAGCAAAGGAATTTGGCAAGCACCATGAGAGTCAAGGCAAGTTTGGATGCAGTCCTTCCTGCCACAATGGAACCTACCACACAGGGCCCCCAGACATTTCACCGTCTATTGATCCCTGTGCCACCACTTTATTTCTCACTGCCACCACCCAGGCCCTACTTGGTACAATACTGAGTCCAGTCAGGGTTAAATTAGAACATGAACTTCTGTTTATTTATTGCAGTTTAACAAGTGTGTGGCTTCATCAACGGTATCGGTCAATTACAATCATGGGATGCCTATCCTGACCTATAACTTCTGCTACCTGCTCACTCACTAAACCACCTCTCAGATATTTACTTGTCTTCCTAGCTCCTAACAGTTCCTGACTCAGCTTATTTCACTACACTAACTCAACCTACCCACAGACTCTATCCCAACTCACTCCCACTCCAACCAACCACCCAACTCCCAACGAACTCCTCCCTTAGCCCCTCCCAAAGGTGGTTTTATAGTCCCTCTGACTCCACCCCCTGGGGTTCTGATTGGGTAACCTGTTTAACTATTTCACCTCCAGCACTCTCATATGTCAACGTCACACCTACGGCTTGTAGGAATGGTCTAGCCAGAGCCCACAAAGATGATGATCACCGACTAAATCACACCTTCTCTACTTTGCACATGGGAGCTTCCTGTGGCCCTGGTCCAATACTCTAAGACAGGGAGGGGAGGGCAGGGAGGGGAGGGAGGGGAATTTGTGGCCTCCCTAATGTTGCTGGACTTCAGCTCCCATCAGCTCCAACCAGCATACCATCTAGAAGTAGGAAACTGCTTCAAGATCTCTCTGTAAATCTCTCTATAAAATTATAAATCAGTGTTTCCCAACTTGCTGTTTTGGAACTACAATTCCCATCATCCCTGATCACTGGTAGCTGGGGATGATGGAAGCTGTAGTTTAAAAACAGCTGAAGAAACACTACTATAAAAAAATATGACAACTACTAATACAACAGTGGTTTAGATGTAGCCATTTTTATTATTGTCCTAGCTTCTCTTAGAATTCTACCATAATGCTAAAGGGTGGGAAATATTTCCACATAGCGAGGATTTGCCAAACAAAGTATAGCGGTTGAACACGTTCAGTGGCATCACTTCTCAGCCTTTTGGCTAAGATCAAGGGTAGTAAGTCTGTTCAGTTATGGCTGCAAAGAATCAGGCTGAAATATATCCATTCAGTCACGGCGCTCATAGAATGTTCTTGGTCAATGTTATTTTCTTCCTAAAATGGCATCAAAGAGGATTGCTTTCTTTTGCTGAATATCCTTGAAGCCAGCGGCACTGAGGAGCGCATTGTACTCTGACGGGGTCCGTTCTTTTCCTTGAGTACAAAGCAGCATAACCAAACCATATATATGAGCTTCTAGTGGCCCCGTTCTGTCTTCGTTGAGAACTATTTCCACTACTAGAACTCCACCACCTGTTTTAGAATAGGACATGGAAGATGCACCGTTACATATTAAGAAGCAGTATGTTACTTTGCCCAAGTATCCTGGGATCAGAAGCTCAAGAAATAAAGGAATGCAGCTGAGCCAGAGTGGTATGCAGACATAAGGGGAAGGGGCCATGGGGAAATCCAAGCAGATTAGTATCAGAATTCATTCCCACAGGAAACACCTTTGACACCATGCACCTACCAGGCTTGCAGGCCCTGTGCAGTCTGGTTAGCAGTTGCACACACTTCTCATCTGTAAAGCAGTGTAGGGTCCTAACCAAAATATACAGGTCAGCTTCCGGAATTGGATCTTTAAAAGCATCACCTGAAATAAAACAAGTAGAGAACCGGTGAAATAATTATTATTCTTACGGAAAGTATACTTCATTTTATCTTTCTCAAATTTGTAGCTATAAGGTGTGCACTTCTGTCTCCTGGTGCTTCTACTGTAAGGAGGGAAAGCTGAACATAAGAGTCCTGGGAAGATCTGTTCTCATGGTTTCCAACTCCCATCAGCCCCAGTCAGCATGGTCAGGAATGATGGGAGTTGTAGTCCAACCATAACTAAAGGGTCACTGATTCTCGATCCCTGCTTAGTGCATGGCTGTCTTGTTTGTTAGTGGAAAAATGATGTAACCTTTGTAGGATAAAATAACATTTTACCTTCATGAAAAGCAATCCGATGTTCCTCTGAGGAGACAAAATGCTTCTTTCCTGTTTCCACTACTTCAGGTAGGTCTAAAATGGTCACTGTAGAATTTGGATACAATGAAATATATTCCTTTGCTAGGGCTCCACTACATCCTTAAGGGAGAACCAAAGGTAAAAAATTAACATGTTGTGCATATCAAAGCTTTCCCCAAAACTTCATGTGCAAAACTCTAAGATAGTACACCAGATAGGTGGCTGTTCAGTCATGTCATTCAATTTACCACTTTTGCAGTTCTGAGGATCTGATAGTTCAGAGCTTGGGTCATGGGTCATTGAGGGATGTTTCCTGTTCTACAACAGCAGCCTTATGATTTCAGAGTGCCAGCATAGGAAGACATGTGAGAATTTATGGTACTTACCTCCCAAATCACAAACTAGTGGGAAATTAGAGAGATCAAATGCATTCAACACATCTCGACCACAGAGACTCCACATCTCATGCATAAACTCCATGAATTCTCGCAAGCTGCTCTTTGATCTAGTAATTCAGAATTGTATTATCAGTTAACAGAGGGGATATCTTTGAACAGAGGATGGTTCTAGACAGGAGCCATATTCCACATAATGCTGTTGCATTTTAGTTGTGTGTGGATTTCCTTTCCTTTCTTTGGCCTCATCCTTCTCTTTCCCATTGTACCGATCATGATGGGATGTATCCATAATCCATACTCAAATTTAAATACTACTACTACTACTACTACTACTACTACTAGTAGTACTATTAATATGAATAATACATCATTTACTGTAGCTGTTCCTCTCACCCGACTCAGAAAAGGCTATTTGCTATGACTGGAAGCAGTTCTGCTTCAACATTTGAAAATACTGGAGGCAAACAAGGCAGGGTCTTCACAACTAGTCTGTTAGGGTGCCAACTTGAATAAAATATAATGTGGGCCCAGGTAAGCCCCGCCCCTCATAACCGATCACATGAGGCAGTGCATACACACCATTTGAATGGGAATCCCCATCAACCTGGGGGGGGGACCTGCCCCCTCAAATATTTTATTTCGGGGCCGAAGCTCCCGCGGCTCCTATGTAGTTTGTGTAATGTAACACCTGATAGCAAGGAATCTAATTTTAGACATCAGGTGAATACAAGTTAGCAATAGGTTTCACACAAATTGCAAAGGGAAAGCTTTGCCCATTCTTTATAAATAAACAAGATCTTCAAAAATACACTTTTTTCTGTACCTGTACATAGCCTCATAGAAATCTTTTGTAGAAATGTCACTTAATCTATACGTCTGAGCCTCTCCTTCCCTGAAAGAGAATATTTGTTTTACTTTAAGAAAGAATGAGCATCAAAACTACAGAATTAAATTTCAGCCTCTTCAGCAAAACAATTAAACCAAGTTTACTACTCATACAATTACATTTGTTGTCAAAGCTGTGTCTAACAATCACAGGTTTGTTTATTTGTAACGTCTGTGAGTTTTACCATTTTATTACCCTTTTTATCAATTTTTTAATAATCAGTAAAAAAAAGTTTGTAAACAAAAGTGAGGAACAGTATTATAAGATAAATGCTATAAAGCTCCTTTTTTATATATTTTGCTATAGTGCTAAAATATCATAATACAATACATAAAGCATTATAGCATACTACCCAAAATCCAACCTTAAATTCACAGCCATTTTATCAACATGGTTAATTGCAGCAGCTGTTATGGTAGTGGTCTTGTTTTTAATCATTTTGTTGAAAATAACATCGAAACCTTTTGACGAATAAATGGGTGTCGTTAGATAGTATTCGCTATAAGGGTTATACAGTATCGTGAATATGTGCTAAGCTTCAAATGGCTCAGCCCACAGTAGCTATGTCCTGCCAGCTCCTACTTAGTATTTTTCGCTCTATAAGATGCACCAGACCACAAGATGCACCTAATTTTTGGAGGAGGAAAACAAGAAAAAAAATATTCTGAATCTCAGAAGCCAGAACAGCAACAGGGATCGCTGCGCAGTGAAAGCAGCAATCCCTCTTGCTGTTCTGGCTTCTGGGATAGCTGCGCAGTTTGCATTCACTCCATAAGACGCACGCACATTTCCCCTTACTTTTTAGGAGGGAAAAAGTGAGTCTTATAGAGCAAAAAATACGGTAGGTACTGAGCACAGCGAGAGGCAAACAGAACAAGTACAAGATATCTGACAAAATAGAAAGGCAATTGTAATTCTGTTTGCGGCTTACAGTGGGTGAGCAGCGGGAAGGTTAATGTTTGTGATTGCTCATCTGGAATTAGCCCTACTGAGGAAGGATCCATTACCATTTTACATTTACAGGACAATCCTGTATTAGACAGGACAGGTGGCAACCCTACAGCACTGTGACATTAAGTTCCCCACTTCAGTGCTATCCTTCTCCTCACCTCACAGAATCAGCCAGGTGCTGTGCTCTCGTATAGACAAATTCAGCATTGAACTTCAAGGAATAATACTGAGTCTTTGGGCTTCTTTTGCCAAGGTAGAGATTGGCAAGGTTGGTATTTCCATAAAGCGCTTAAAACGAAGGGGACAAAAGATTAACGTTTTCACGCCTCTGTGCAAAGCCCCTTTCCCTCCCCAATTCTGCAGGGACCAAATGCTTGAAATAAGGATAATGAGACAGAAGACACATTTCTATGATTCCATGGCATGCTGCTCGCATTGTAAAAAAAGTGCAACACTGAGACTGCAATTCTCCAGCTTCTCTTCCAGAGAAAAGTATGGAAAGACTAGGCCTCCACCTGCTGGCAGTGGAACTTCAGGGTGCAAAGCTGCCACATGGTCACCAATGCTATAAACCAGGCATAGGCAAACTCAGCCCTCCATCATCCCTGACCACTGGTCCTGTTAGCTAGGGATCATGGGAGTTGTAGTCCCAAAACATCTGGAGGGCTAAGTTTGCCTATGCCTGCTATAAGCAGCCACTAGGAGTGGCCATTCTGAGATCTGGAGTGAAGTATTAGAAATATATGAACATCAGGCAACTTTTTCCCATTGTAACACCTAAGTTAGGAGGACAGACTCTTAATGTCCTGAGCTGCATTGGTGCTTAGTAAAAAAGTAAAAAGGTAAAGGACCCCTGGATGGTTAAGTCCAGTCAAAGGTGACCATGGGGTTGCAGAGCTCTTCTCACTTTCGGGCCGTGGGAGCCAGCATTTGTCCACAGACAGCTTTCCGGGTCATGTAGCCAGCATGACTAAACCGCTTCTGGCACAACGGAATACCATGACAGAAGTCAGAGCACAGGGTAATGCCATTTATCTTCCCACGGCAATAATACCTATTTATAATTGCTTGCACTGGCATGCTTTCACTACTACAAGGTTGACAGGAGCTTGGACAGAGCAAAGGGAGTGCACCTTCTGATCAGCAAGCCCAAGAGGCTCAGTGGTTTAGACCACAGCACCACCCGGTTCCCTTACAGCTGCTTAGTTACCTGTGGTAGCTGCCTATTTGCTAATGAGCTTTCTCACTGACATTTGTAAACAACAAGGTACAAGCACATCCAACAGATCATCTCTCCTGCTTACTGGGGGGGGGGGGATTAAATGGTATTTTGACTTTATAGTGTTGGTTAAATTTCCAGATAAAGAATAAATACTTTGGTTGTCCTTCCTCTCCACTTGCAGGAACTTGTAGCCAACACAGGCGTCTAGTAGTCTCTCCATCCCAAAGGGACTGGTACCCAGACGTTCGGCAATAGTCACTGAAGTCAACGGTTCCTTGGACTCCATCAGCAGATCAAATACACCAAGATCAGAGGCAGTAAACATAATCTGGATGCAAAAAGGGTGAGGGAGTACACAAGGAAATAGCTAAAAATGGTCTATAGTTACTGACTTTGCAAAAGGAACAAGATACTTTTGAAATACAAAAATGTTATCATATATATAATAATTATTTCTGTTGAGCGTCCCCGTGAATTATATAAAGAAAAGTGGAACATAGGTATCTTAAGCAAGTTAATTTTAAATTATTGCTGTATCCCACCTGTGCTATGGGTCCCAAACATAGACTCACAGTTCTTCTCATTTTCCTATTAATACATTCAAGTGACATTAACAATATTTGAAGTTTCTGCCTTTATTTGTGCTGGGTTGACCCCTGTAACTGTAAGATTTGCCTTGCCATTTAAAGGCATGTTTGATTCTACACATCCATTTACAAGCTGAAAGTTTCAAAGTCCTTGCAAGTATTAAATTTTGCAGACAATACTTCTACCTTTGAAATTAGAAATGAATACTGATTCCGAAATAACAGTTTCAAAGCTTCAGCTTCTTCTGTAGCACTCATTGTTCTTTACTTCTCTGTCAGATATCTCACAGTTTTCCTCTGATGAGCAAGTTGTGGTCCTTTTATTCAGAATTCACTGAAAATGACACTGAAATGATAAATGTCTAGGTCAAAATCAAACTTAATGGACTTTGTAAATGACTGAGGCCAGAGATGTTTATGGGGAAGTCCCCATCTGCTAAGTAAACACATAGGTGGAAAAAGGATTTCTTTCTCACAAGTGCAGAAGGAAGGAAGTACCTGGAAATTATTGATTTTGCCTATGTGAGGGAAATTGTGAGGAAAATTGAGGAAAATCTCACTTGTCACTGACAAGTGAGATAAAATCAACTGGTGTCTGGAAATACAAAATTAACAAGTTATTGGAGAAAGTTAATCAGAAGAGAGAGCAGGTGGTTTAGGGAAAACACTCTTGCTGAAATGAGGCCATTTAGAAATTCTTAAAATACAGAAACACATTAACAAATAAGTGTCACATGCAAGTCACATAGTAGGAGCCATTTTTGTGCCCAAGTCAACAAATGTTAATGGCAAAAATTACCAAGAAGCTCACTAAAGAACTCACTTCTAAAAATGAATTATTTGTGATAACGATATAGAGAAATTCAGGAAAATATACAAATAGTAAAGCTGAATGAGGATAGGTAGAGCCTGAAGAAGAAAAGTTAAGAGTTCCCAGATTGGAACATGGGAAAGGAAACAAGGGGATTCCAAGAGAAAGACTATGAACAATGAGGGAGAACCAGGGATGTCACCATGAACTCCTTGAAGGAAAGGTAAAAGGTAAAGGTACCCCTGACCGTTAAGTCCAGTCACGGACGACTCTGGGGTTGTGGCGTTCATCTCGCTTTATTGGCCGAGGGAGCCGGCGTACAGCTTCCGGGTCATTTCCCCCCCCCCTCAATTTTTTTTAATTAATTTTTCAAATTTATAACAAACATAAACAACATAAAATAAAAAATGTTACAATATAAAAAACAGACAAACATAAAAACATTTATCCTAGCTGTTATAATCATACTTTTATAACCATTAGTTGATGACTTCCTCAAATCCCTCAAGCTGTGTTTCCATATAGCTCATTGTAGCAGTTTTCCAGTACTAATTTCCAATAAAATTAACTTAATCAATTAACATATTTCTTTCTTATCCTATTTCACTTATATCCACAATATTATAAAATTTAAAACATTTAAGTCCTAAGCTAATTTGGTACTCACAATAATGCTACTTATATTATCTTACAATATTTTGCTAAATACCAGTAGTCCTTAAATTTCATCCATTCTTCTTGGTCCATCCATCCTCCTCCTTCTGTTTGTGGATTCTACCGGTCAGGTCAGCCAGCTCCAGAAAGTCCATCATCTTCATCTGCCATTCCTCCACTGTTGGTAATTCTTGTAATTTCCCATATTTAGCTAACAAAATTCTTTCTGCAGTTGTGGCATACAAAAACAGCCTAACATCTTTCTTGAGCAATTCCAAACCTATTATTCCAAGTAGAAAGGCTTCTGGTTTTTTAATAAAGGTATATTTCAACATCTTTTTCAACTCATTATAAAGCTTTTTCCAGAAGTCTTTCACCTTAGGGCATGCCCACCCAGCTTCTGGGTCATGTGGCCAGCATGACTAAACCACTTCTGGCGAAACCAGAGCAGTGCACAGAAACGCCGTTTGCCTTCCCGCCGGAGTGGTACCTATTAGCAGCGAAAGGACTAACCTTTATGTGGCTTGCTCCCAGGTAGCAGCTGGAATTGTATGAGGCACACGTCCCAAGTTGCCAGTGTTGTGATGTGCAGTCCTTTGGCTACTCAGAAACCAGCTGCATTGGATTAAATAGCATGTAGCCATCCCCACCCACAAAGTTAATTGGGTTTAGGATTGCAGCCTTGATCAGGAGCTAATAATGGATTTGCTGAATCAGTTGCTCTGAGGAGAAAGAAGAACAAAAAAACCTAGAGAGTCCTGAAGCACCTCAAAGGACCACACATTTGTTATTCTGGCACAAGACGTGCTGAACTAGAGTCTATTTCATCACATACATGGCGCGATTCTCAGTTACAGGGGTGTGGGGTGAGCAATGGAAGGGGAGTTGGATGCAGTGGGGTCAGAGGGAAATGAAATGCCAGAAACACAGATAGGAACCGTTCAAATTTGAGCTACAATGTAGGCAGGATGAGGACAGCGACATAGCCATGATAGGCTTGCTAGTGCTAAGTGAATTTACGTTTGCAAACCATTGTCTTTATTCAGACCCAAATGAATTGGAGCGAATGTCTTCAATACTCTGGGCCAAAAGCTCATTTTCCACCTCAATGTCTGGCCTTTTTTTAGCTCTTCTGCAGCCCAAAGAGATGTTGTCTATTTCCTTCCTTCCTTCCTTCCTTCCTTCCTTCCTTCCTTTTGATAACATTTTATTAATTTTCCAAAACTAACAAATATAAAGACAACAACAATACAAAATCAAAACAAAACAAAACAGATTGACTTCCCCCTAGTCCCTTCCTTGGTTCCATTATTAATCAACATAACTCATGTTCATTGTTAAATTTGAAAACCATTTAAGTTACTTATTGTCCATTCATAACAAAATTACAAGTAGTCCTCGAACCCTGCTAATGTATTAACCTGTATACAATGCTTCTGTATATATGGAATAAACATCTTCCATTCTTCCTTAAATTCATTGTTGTCTTTTCTTCTTAATTTCATTGTCAGTTTTGGCATTTCAGCATATTCCATTAATTTAACTTGCCAATCTCCTTCTTCTTTCTAATATTGTGTTAGTAATGTCTGTGCGGCCGTAGTTGCATACATGAATAAATTATTTTGTGATCTTGGTAAGTCCACTCCTGTAATTCCTAATAGGAAAGTTTCTGGTTTTTAAACAAAGGTTATTTTAACATCTTCTTTATTTCATTATAAATCATTTCCCACTATTTCTTTATAATTTTACAGTCCTACCACATGTGAAAAAATGTCCCTTCTGTTGTTTTACATTTCCAACACTTGCTTTCCTTAGTTTTTTACTGACTGGAGTTCAGTACCATCTATACATCATTTTCATATAATTTCCTTTAATCGCCACACAAGCTGTAAATTTTAACTCATTCTACCATAGCTTTTCCCATTCCTCCATTTGAATATTGTGTCCCACATCTTGTGCCCATTTAATGATAACTGATTTAACCTCTTCATCTTTCATTTCCCATTCCAGCAACAGATGATACATTTTTGATATTAATTATCATTTTCTATTATTTCTCTCTGAAAAGTTGAAATTTCATATGGAAATCCTATATTTTTATCATTCTTAAATATTTCATTTAATTGAAAATATTGTAATCAATCTGTTACATTCTCTCTAACTTCGTTAAATTCTTTCAATTTTAATTGGTTTTCTGATTCAATTAACAACTTTCTATATGTAGCCCATTTAGTGTCCATATTTAATTTTCCCCCTGATATTGCCTCTAATAGAGAAAGCCACCATGGTGTTTTTTGTTCTAATAATCCTTTATACTTCTCCCAAACTTTAAAAACTGCTTTCCTTATAATATGATTTCAAAAGCTTTGATGTACTCTTGCCTTTTCATACCATAAGTAGACATGTCAGCCAAATCTATTGTCATGGCCTTCCAAATCTAATAAATCTATATTTTAAAATTTTATCCATTCCCTGATCCAGCAAATACAGGAGGCTTCGTAATATACAGTGGTACCTCGGGTTACATACGCTTCAGGTTACAGACTCCGCTAACCCAGAAATATTACCTCGGGTTAAGAACTTTGATTCAGGATGAGAACAGAAATTGTGCTCCGGCGATGCAGCAGCAGCAGGAGGCCCCATTAGCTAAAGTGGTGCTTCAGGTTAAGAACAGTTTCAGGTTAAGAACGGACCTCCGGAACGAATTAAGTACTTAACCTGAGGTACCACTGTAATTTCAGATCTGGCAGGGAGAAGCCTCCTCTATCTTTAATATCTGTTAATAATTTATACTTTATTCACAGTTTCTTGCCCTGCCATACAAATTTTGAAATATCCTTTTGCCAGTCTTTGAAGCATCCCATATTGCTTGTTACCAGGATTGCTTGGAATAAAAACAACATTTTTGGCAGTACATTCATCTTAATAACTGATATTCATCCTAACAAAGACAAGTTCATTCTATTCCAAATTTCCAAAAAGTTTTTCTCAGTTCTGACAGCTCCCATGGAAATCTGCAGCTAACTGAAAAGGGAGGCCAGCTTGGCACTGATACCGGGAGGGAGCCTGAGATGTAAGAATGGTCACCGTTCCTAACTGAAAGGGCTAAATTGGGCCCAGCTTGGGTTCACCAAGGCATTACATTATGTAACAGAGGGACGTCACTGTGCAGGAGGCCAAGGGAATTTTCAGAGCAACAGAAGCAAGAGCGACCCAGAGCGACCCTTGGATAACTGAAAGGGCTTGGGGTGTAAGAAGAGTCACCATGCCTAACTGAAAGGGCTAAATCTGCCCCAGCTTGGGTGTGCCAATGCCAGCATGCATTACATAACAGAGGGATGTCAGCATCAAGGAGGCCAAGGGGCTTTTCAGAGCAACAGGAGCAGGTGTGACCCAGAGTGACCCTTGGATGTGGAAAGAAGTGTGGGGTGGGCATTGGAAGGGGAACTGTATGCAGTGGGGTCAGAGGGAAATGGAATGCCAGAAACACAGATAGGAACCGTTCAAATTCGAGCTACACTGTAGGCCGGATAAGGACAGGGACCCTTTAGGATAGCGATGATAGGCCATGAAAGAAACCGACTTGGTAGTGCTGAGTGAATTTATGCCTGCAAATCATTGTCTTTATTCAGACCCAAATGAATTGGAGCGAATGTCTTCAGTACTTGTGATGTAGCAGTTTCACTCCGGCAGAGGCGTAGCGTGGGCAGGCTGAGGGGGGCCATTGCTCAGGCGCAGTTTCTTCGAAGGAGCACTTTGCTCCTCACCTGGTCCCTATCAGCCCCTCAATGCT